TGTCAATAAGGAATTTGTTAGGAGGACAACAGCTTTATCCTAATCCAAGCATTTAATACTATAGTGTAAGGAACCTGTAGTCAGAAGACTTAGATTCAGGCCAATTTTATATTTAGGAACTTAAGTTAGTTTCTTTCTATAGACCTCAATTTCTTTGTCTGTTGCTCATATGTTATTAATAAGATGATAAAATTAATGAATGTTCATGAATGTTGTTGTCAACTGTAAAATGCTTTATGCATGCAAGGTATTCTTATTTTTCTAGGAGAAGCCAGCCAAAGTCAAAGTAGAATTGGCTCCTGGTGTCTCTTCCAGAGGCTCTGTAGTTAAAAGAAGTCAGCAGCCTGTCACCACTGAGCAAAATTCCTCTAAGGAAAATGCCTCTAAACTGACTCTGGAGAATTCAGAAGCTGTAAGCCAGCTCCTAAGTGTAGCTACTCCAAGAGAAGTGGGTAAGGAGAATGAGTGGGAGGAAGTGATCATCTCCGATGCCCATGTTTTGGTCAAGGAAGCTCCTGGGAAGTGTGGTATCGCGGTCACTAAGACACCGGTCGTCAAAAGTGGTGTGCAGCCTGAGGTTACTCTGGGGACATCTGAGAATGACAGTCCCGGAGCAGACATACCACCAGCTGAGGGGATTGGCACCTCCAGTTCACTCCCTGCTCCTAAAAAACCTACAGGGTAAGTCAATGTATTTATATATTACAGGGCTGTATTTAGGATAGCAGCTTTGGAAATGCCTCATGTTTGTTTTATTTCACGTTCCTTACAGCATGCCCAAGAGAGGCAGCAGAGCCCAGTTAGTGGTTCCTGTTTTAGAGATACAGAACCAGGGCCTAGAGATAATGTAATGATTTACCTTTGCCCGTAGAGTCAGCTGTCCCTGCACCACAAGATTACTTGTGCATCTCTTGTCAGTCTCCCTAAAGCAGTTATTAAAGTCTGCTGGTACAGGCTGTGGACAGTGTTATAACTTACCAACTCTAGATGCTGGATTTAGAAAGAGAAGCCCTATTAAAGTGTCCTATAGAAAGAGTCTGGGCTGGTGGTCAGAGAACTCAGTTTTGGCTGTGACTGTCCCTGGCTTTGGTTTGACTTTGAGCATATATTTACTTCATATCCCTTGACTTCATTTCACTCCTCTGAAAAATCTTGAGTTGGGTATTAAAAAAATCTTATCCTTCCAGGTTGACTGTACAGACTGAAAGTAAAGCTTGCAACCCAGCACTTTTTAAATAGGAGGAAGTCAATAAGTTTGAGTTATTTTCTTCCTCCTTAAAAGATTAATGG